GTGGCTAATGGAATAAGCAAAATTATTCATCTTATACCTTCTCTGTTGTTCATCCTTAATCTCCCCAGACAATTTTTTAAAATTTATTTTTTTCCAGACAAGGTCTCACTCTGTCACTCAGGCTGGACTGCGGTGGCACGATCATAGCTCACTGCATCCTCAAACTCCTGGGCTCAAGTGACCCTTCTACGTCAGTCTCCTGAATAGGTGGGGTTACAGGTATGCCACCACACCCGGCTAATTTTTTAAAAGTTTTTTGTAGTCTAGCCCAGCCTGGTCTCAAACTCTTGGCCTCCGGTGATTCTCCCACCTCGGCCTCTGAAAGCACTAGGATTACAGAAATGAGCCTCTGTGCCTGGCCTCCCCAAACAAACTTATGTGTGACAAATACCAGGACAAAATATGCTCATCGCTAAATCCCAAAATGCTACTACCTGAAACGTACAAGTAAGTGTGAACAACACGTTTTCCCTCGTGGATTAGATAATAAAAACAAGTTTAAGATGCTAATTATCCATGTTAACACCACGTTTTCTTCAGTAAAAATGTGCCACTACAACTTATGAAAGATTTTTTTTTGATTTGGACTCTCTGTCACCCAGGCTGGAGTGCAGTGGCATGCTCATCGCCACCCCAGCGTCGACCTGCTGGGCTCTGGCGATCCTTCCACCTCAGCCTTCCAAGTAACTGGTACTACAGGCGTGCGCCACCACGCCTGGCTAATTTTTGATTTATTGTAGAGATGAGGTCTTGCCAAGTTGCCCAGACTGGTCTCCAACCCGCACGCTCAGGCAATCCACTCTCCTAGGCCTCCCAAAGTGCTGGGATTACAGGCTGAGCCACCGAACCCAGCCCCCAAAGAGCTTATAGTAGGGTTTAATAAAACTCAATAATTATTATTAAATAAGATTAAATATTTTAATATACATTTCAAAAATCTTGAAAAAACTAGAAACTTTATGCTGACTGTTATGCAGCCACCAGGTGGTGGCCTTTGTGAATATCTAATTTGTTTAGTATATGGGATTGCCTTTATTAGTATCTGAAAAACTTCAACCAACTTTTCTTTATTGAGAATGTTTATGTAGTGTCTTGCACAAATGAGTATGCTTGACCGCCATCATATCCCATCTTGTAAATAATAAATTTGGTTTTAAAAGCAAAAATAGGCTGGGCACAGTGCCTCAAGTCTGTAAACCCAGCACTTTGGGAGGCCGAGATGAGAAGATTGCTTGAGCCCATGGGTTCGAGACCAGCCTGGGCAATATGGTGAGACCTCGTGTTTACAATAAATCAAAAAATTAGCCAGGTGTGGTAGCACACGCCTATAGTTCCAGCTCCTTGGAAGGCTGAGGCAGAAAGATCGCCTGAGCCTAGCAGGTCAACGCTGGGATGACCGGGAGCGTGTCACTGCACTCCAAGCCTGGGCAACAGAGTGAGACTCCAACTCAAGCAAACAAACAAACAAAAACCAAAAATAATGCACATGAGTCATGGCTGGTGTAGAGAGCTGACATTCTTACTTCCTATGCCTGTGGGTCTGGGCTGAATAGGGAGGTCGTCTTTCTTCTGTCGGCACCCTCTTGATTCTCTCCTTGCTCAAGACCCATTGAGCCTGCATTGGTCTTTCGACATCATGCTCTTTCAGCACTTGTGGGTGTTCTCCAGTGTGGTTTCCACAGTGTTCTTGCTTCCTTTAGTTACTAGGACACTGCAAATTACATATTACATACATGGCATGTATCGTATCTTTACTGGAGGGGAAATGAAGGTACGCTAGGGACATTGGTCTCTGCAGAGTCATTTTTTGGGCTTTATTTCAGTTTGCTCCAGGTGTCTATCTATGGATTTTTGCTGGGAAGAAAGGCATGCTTACCCTTGGGAAAATGCCATTCTTCAAACCTCCGACCCTGGGAGAGCTCGTGCCCTACAATAAGCATGCAACTTCAAGAACAACCTCTGCAGCTATAACTGTCAGTTTGCTCTTTCATTCCTGCTTTATATGTGTTCTAGAATACACATATGCATGTCAGATGCAGCTATGTAGTTGTACCTTCAATTTTTAGATTTTATCCAATGAGTAGCCTTTGGAAAGTCATACAGGCCTCCAGTGTAGACAATGGCCCAGAACTCCTGCTTAAAAATATTTTAACATATGTAGTTAAATATTATATAATCCTGCTGGACCTGGGGGGCTCACTCCTGTAATCCCAGCACCTTGGGAGGCAGAGACAAGAGGATTGCCTGAGCTCAGGGGTTTGAGATCAGCCTGGACAACTTGGTGAGACCGCATCTCTACAATAAATAAAACAAATTAGCCAGGTGTGGTGGCACACACCTGTGGTTCCAGCTACTTGGAATGACGAGGTGGAAGGATTGCCTGAGCCCGGCAGGTCGAGGCTGCAGTGGCTGTGAGTGTGCCACTGCACTCCAGCCTGGGTGACAGAGTAAGACTCCAAAAAAAATAAAAATAAAAATAAAATAAATTAAAATTAAACAAATAAATATTATATAATTCTAGTTATAACCATGTCTCAGATTGTTTTTCTCATCTTTTTTCTAGCATCCAAATACATAGAAAAAAGGAGTAGTGTATGAGTTGAAAGCATAACTACATTTTTATCTAGCATATTTTGTTCAAAATCAAATTTGTAATCAAAAGAGCTAAAAAAGGCTATCTGTGCTTTTTCTGTTGAAATAATATTTTGAAAATAAAACTGGAACATTTTATTTTAGTTTTCATTTTCCTTATACAATGGTATTCCCCAAGTCCATAAGTGACTTACTATGTTTGTCTCCTAGTGACTTCACATGAATAACTCACGAAATTAGTCAAATTTCTGTCACATGTGTGTGACATCAGTGTATAAGAATACAAAAACAAATCACCTCTCACAGCAGTACACACAGTAAAGATACTGCGTGTAGCTTTTGAAAACAAAAGCTCTGTCTAGATCTGCTTATAAGAAATAGACATGAACACTCGAGAATCATCAAAAATGCATTTTTGTAGAAAATTATTACCAAACTCCGTCATTCCAACTAGTGTTTTCGATCAACTTTATGTAACTAAAACCCCACCCACCTGACTGAAATCACACCAGTGGTAATGGAAGGAAAGAGAGGTAAGCTACATCACTAGCATCAGCTCCAGGAAGGTCAAGAGCCCAACCTTGGGGAAACAGGAGGGGGACTTCATAACTTAAGAGACTCGAGAAGACGCCCAAGTTGCCTGACGGCCCTAGCTGTGATGAAAATCACCCACGGAAGTGGGTATTATTGTAAATCTTTGTCTACATGACAGATTTACATCTCCTTACCTCCATAAAATTCACCGTTAATGGCACAACACCTATTAAGCGGAGATATTTCTAGGGGTAGTACGTCATGGTATTTTCCTGTACAGTTTACATTATTCTTGGCATTTCACTGCCTGTCTCATGAGATGGCCAAGAAGGAAAATATAGTAACTTGCACTCACTGCTCAAGGACAAAATGCCACATCTTACCAGAGGAAACCTTCAGAAAGTGAAAAGTAGATATTGAGAATCGTAAGGTTGAAAAATGTGGGCTAGGAGAAATCTGAACGCTGAGGGGACAAATATTTTGTTTCGTGGAATATAATTTTCATACTTGATTGAATCCCCAGTTTTTAGGGTTTTTTCAAAGAGGGGCAAATAAACATTTACAAAAGCTCATTCTTAGAGCTAGGTGCATACAGGGGAGAAAAATATGCTCTTTGACATAAACACAGTCTTAGAGCTTATGCTTCCACTGTGCTTGTATAGGGAGACTCTAGGGCCTCAAAAACATTTGAGTAGAACTTTCTGACAACACAAGCTGAGCAGCCTTTGTGTAACAAAGGCAATTAAAATGTCCAGGCAATCCCTCGAGATCTGTGAGCACACTGAGAACCTGGAATACTGAATAACTTCATTTGTATTCACATATAGTCGGAAAGAAAAAATAATTTCAACTCTTACCATAAGCTCTTTTTATTTTCTCTTTTAAGGGAAGCAAATAACAGGTATGAGCATCTATTAAACTTTTGGACTCATTGTTATGGAGTTGTTGGCCATATTTTAGGGTAGTAAATTCTACAGGCTAATGTCACCGCATCTTATGTAGGCCAAAAATATACTTTAAAAGCCAGGTGGTAGCATTCCCCAACTGAAAGGGATGGACAACATTTTTCTCATTCAAGTTTCTGCTTTTATATAAAAGGAAACTGACAAACGAGTTATCAGAGGTCGTATTGTCAGCTCCTGGGAGAACCTGGACTTGAGAAACAGATACTCTTTTTTTCACTCCAAAGAACCTTCTCCAGATCCCAGATAAGGTACAACCATGTTTTCTTCTCCTGGAGCTAGCTATGGGTAAAGTCGTATCGTAGAAAATGTTGCTTGGCTTTTGTTCCTTTTCGCTTTGGCAAACAAGAAGCAGAGAAGATGAGTTATTGAAGCTTTAAGAGGATTTTTAGAAAGAGAAGTTATATTTCTTTTGTGTGTAGCGTATACTGCCATTTGATCCATTTCTCCACTTGGAGCAACATCCCTTTCATTTTAGATTAGCAATAAAGGGCTCTGTAGGAAAGCCTCATGTGTAACAATAGGGTCATTACACAACGCTTGGATGTATGGTGTTTATTGGTGCTGCAAACTATTAGAAATAGCCATATAGATCTTGTGGAAGAGCCCTCTTAGAATGGGTAGTAATGGTTTCACATAATAGGGGCTCAGAAAATATTTGTTATTTGATTTGCTTCTTTTGTAGGTAATCTTTGTGAATCTATATCTAAGATAATACAGTCTGGAACATGAACAGCTTGAAAAAATTAATACACTGAAATGCTCAACATGTATCATTTGTTTATAGGTTTTTATATAAAAGGGTTTTCTTGAGGCTGTGCTGCATGGTTTTACTATCACCACCAAGCAGAGAAGAAAAGTTCCCATAATCTCAACTATTAGCAATTAACGTGTGCTTCCTTTCACTTACAGGGAAAGCACAAGAGCATTCTGGTTAATCTACCGTCTACAAGACAACTTTCCAGCTGCCAGCTAAGTCACCCTTTGGTTCTGGTGGGTGGAATGCTACTGATGTGGACTGAATGTCTGTGTACCTCCAATTCATATGCAGAAGCCCTAACTCCTAATATGTTCCTTTATCTGAACATAGGACCTTTATGGAGTAAAGTTAAATGAGATCATAAGGTTGAACACTGATCTAATAGAAATAGCATCCTTATAAGACAAGAACACTATTCAGCTTTTTTTTTTTAATTGAAAAGTGTAATCATGTTTTTTTTTGTTTTTTTTTTGAGTTGGAGTCTCACTCGGTCGCCCAGACTGGAGTGCAGTGGCCGCTCCCGGCCACCGCAGCCTCGACCTGCTGGGCTCTGGCGATCCTTTCGCCTCAGCCTTCCGAGTAGCCGGAATTACAGGCATGTGCTACCACGCCCGGCTGATTTTTTGATTTATTGTAGAGATGAGGTCTGGCTGCCCAGGTGGGTCTCGAACCCACGGGCTCAGGCAATCCACTCACCTCAGCCTCCCAAAGGCGCGGGATGACAGGCTGAGCCACCGAGCCCGGTTTTTTGGTAGCACATGCATGGAACCGGAGGCTGTCGTTGTAAGTGAAACAACTCAGACACAGAAAGACAAATAGCACATGTTCTCACTTACAAATGGGAGCTAAGTATTGTGTACACGTGGAGGTAGAGTGTGGAATGATAGACGACGGAGACTCGGAAGGGTGAGAGGGTGGGATGGGGGAAAAGGCTGGGATTTACTGAATGGGTATGATGCAAATTATTTGGGTGATGATAACCTAAAGACCTTACTTCACTACTATACAATCTATGCATGCAACAAAAGTACACTTATACCCCAATAGCTTTATACAAATAGAGATGTTTTTTCAAAGAAGAAGAGACACCAGAGAGCTCACGCTCCCTCTTCATCATGAGAAGACACAGAGGGTGAACATATTCAAACCAGGAAAAGTCCCCACCAGAAACCAACCCTGACTCACTTTTACCTTGAATTTCAGCCTCCAGAATTGTGGAAAATAAATTTCTATTGTTTAAGCTAGTCAGTCAGTCTATGGTATTTTGCTATATCCTCCAGAGCTAATTAATACAAGTACAGTGTAAAACAAAGGCATGATCAATCAGTGAACATTTTTGGAAAACAAAAATATGCTTAAAGCTTTTGCAATAGAACTGTTATTTTTTCTCGTTTTTCTTCCATCTCTTAACTTCTTAACTCATCCACTTTCTAAACCATTAAGACATGAAAATATTCTTGAGAAATAAAACACACACACACTTATAAAAATGAATGCAGGATAATCTTTCCACCAGCTCAATTCCTTTGTAGACCAACTGAAAAAGAAATAATAAGTTTGAATAGAGTTCAGTTATTTAAGAACCTACCATGTCACGTGAGTTCTGTTATCCTCACTCAGATTTGTTTAAGTTTTGCCCTTTGGAATCAGCACATCATTGCAAAAGACAGCACAAACAGAGACTGCTTCCATAAGAGCCACTCAGAGTCAGAAATGTTGAGTTTCTCCAAGATGTGAAATTATGTTTTCAAAGCAGAAAACACTAATTTAAGTTGGAAATGTGTTGAAAAATGTCACTTCCTCTGCAAACCAAACAAATTAAGAGGAAGGGAAATATCACTTAGTAGAATTCAGAGCTTCTTGTGAAATTCTGAACGAGTTCTAGAAATTTGGCAAAACCTAAAGTATTGCTTGGCATTTATACCCTGAGATGAGTATTTTAGGAGCCCAAGTTAAACTTGTTGATAGATATATACTGAGCATGTGTTAACTTGGTGATGTTTCTGTTTCTCGCTATAAATACTGTTCTACAAACTAAGGACTTGTCTCACATATAACCTATTCAAGTTACTGTGTCATGCAGATGAAAAAACTTATATTTACTATATATTCTTAAATTATGGTCCTATGCCCACGAAATGGAACATATCCAAGTGCTTATAAAACTAAGCATAGAAAACGAAAACATACTTATGTGACAGATTTGAAGGTCACCACTGTGCAACATATCATCTACTAATTGAAGAGAAATTGGCAGATGTCACCTCATTTAATGGTAAGTTAAAATCCAGGAAGGCTACTTGAAAGCTCTATTTTCATTCTGTGCATGATGTGTGTATTTAAACGTTATATGTGGTTACGTGAGCCACTATGATGTGTAGTCGTACATCTCTATTTTATACAGCTTGGGTCACTATGCTCTATTAACATCTCAACTTTTACATAAGATGCTGGAAAAGGCCGGGTTTGGTGGCTCAGCCTGTAATCCTGCGCTTTTGGGAGGCTGAAGTGAGTGGATTGCCAGAGCCCGTGGGTTCGAGACCCGCCTGGGCAGCGAGACCTCATCTCTACAATAAATAAAAAAATCAGCCGGGCATGGTAGCGCATGTAATCCCGGCTACTGGGAAGGCTGAGGCGGAAGGATCGCCAGAGCCCAGCAGGTCGAGGCTGCGGTGGCCGGAAGCGGCCACTGCACTCCAGTCTGGGCGACAGAGTGAGACTCCAACTCAAAAAAAAAAAAAAGATGCTGGAAAAGTCAAGTTATGACTCAGGTAAGATACAACAAAAAAGATGATAGTGTTTGTGGAGATGTTTTAGAGGTAGAAACCATTATTGCTGAGATGGTAGAACTCTAGCTATTAAAACCAAAGTTCTAAATTTAAAATTTTTTATTACTAGTATTTTGAATTCTAATCCTATAGAATAATATTTGCTAAATAAAATGAAATACATACAGAATCTAGTATATAGCACTAGAAAAACTACAATTTTTTCCCCCTTTTCCTTATCAGAGGAACAGTAATGGGGAAAGGTAACACTCAGACCTGCTTTAGCTGCAGTGTGGATATTACTCAGCTCTCAAACTTGACAGTTATAAAGAAGGAAAAAAGTGAAAAGAAAGCAGGCTAGTACTAATACCCATGGTCTAGAGAAAAAGCATCTGGTTTCAGAACCATTCGGAAAACAACAACTTTGGAATCAAAGCAATGGTTGGCACACAGTAGACATAAATAAAGATTCGTTGGATGAACAAGCTGGTCTCTACATAAGGATAACAAGTGTCAATAGATGTTTAGTATTGACTGAGTAAGCCAGAAACAGGAGATGCAGAGTGTATTAGTCTGCTCGGGCTGCCATAACAAAAATGCACAGACTAGATGGCTTAAAGAATAGAAATTTATTTTCTCACTGTGTTGGAGACTAGAAGTCCAAGATTAAGGTGACTTCAGGGCTTGTTTTGATGAGGCCTCTCTGGCTTGCAGACAGCTGCCTTCTCGCTGTGTCTTCACATGGCCTTCCCTGTGTGCGCACCTGGGAGAAGAGACATCTCCAGTGTCTCTTCTGCTTCTCATAAGGTACCAGTCCCATCAGATTAGGGCCCCAACTTACAACATCATGTAACCTTATTTACTTCCTTTAAGGTTCTGTCTACAAATAGTTGCATTAGGGATTGGGACTTCAACGTACAAATTTTGGTGAAATACAATTCAGTCCATAACATGGAAGAATACTGAGATGATAAAGAATGTGAACTAAAGCCTTTAGGAAGCTGTTGTCTAGTGACCACTTGAATTATCTTTGCATCCTTTACCTTGAAGACTAGTTTTAGAACCACAAAGTTTGCCTCAATCTAACAGCTGTAGAGTTAAGATATGAGGAATTTTAACTTGTTCAATGTATCTACAATATGTTCCAAGCTTTCGGATTTGAAAATATCAATGTAAATTCTCTTTAGGTTGGCCAAAAAATTTTGCTTTAGTTCAATTTCTTTATAATATTTCCCAAACAACACACAGCCAAAAATCACACTTGCCTAACTTCAGTGTTTGAGTCAATAAAAACCATCTCATGGTCTGTTTAAACTTTACTTGAATGAGGCTGTTCCAAAAATGAGGAACAGAGTAGCTGTGAATTTTATAGTCTCAGCTATTTAACCACATTTATTGATCAATTAAAAGATTGTGTAATTTAATATAAATTTACTTTTATGTGAGTGACTCAGCAAAATTATAAGGCATCCCACAGTGTCTTTGGTATAGTAAAGTATTTATATTTTTGTGTGAATCTCTATTTTTTTTTCAAAATTAAAAAAATAAAAATGTGACTACAGGAATTTAGACTTTGTATTAGAACAAATTCCCTGAGTTATTTAATTCTGTTATTATTCACAAAACATATATTATTGGTTTAAAATAAATACATTTTGATCAGATTATATTAAACTCTAAAACCATATCTGATAAAAGATGCTCACCAGTGTTATAACAAAAGTATTAAAATTGGCAATTGTGGACAAGTTAGAAAGATGATATGGCTTGAAGTAATTTGTTGGATACATTTAGAAGAAACAGCAATGCTGATGCATATCTGAATTTGCTTTTTAAAAATTTCCTTCTTAATATGCTCTGTTGAATTATAATTTTAACCTATAAATCTTGCACACTCAGGATGATGTTCTCAGACTATTTGTTAGCCAGATTATTTCTAATCTAATATTGTTTGGTTTGCATATGATACACACACACATATATGTATGCACAGATATTTTTCACACATGAAGTTTCTTTTTTCTCATCAAGCATTTAAAATGCACTTATTTCCCTGAATCCTTCCCAAATTATTTGCTTTTAAAAGTGTTCCCTTTTATCTCTTTCTATTGTACACACAAAACAAGGTATTTACTTTGATGCCATTTTCAAGCAAATTTTAAATAATAGCAGAAGATTGCCATTTGACACTAAATAACATGTGAGTTGATTTTCTTCTCTCTTTCAGAGTCTCACTCTGTCACCTGTGCAGTGTCATGCTCACAGGCCACCATAACCTCGATCCGCTGGGCTCAGGTGATCCTTCCACCTCAGCCTTCCAAGTAGCTGGAACTACAGGGCCACACCATTGCAACCGCTATTTTTTTGTTTTATTGTAGAGACAAGGCATCGCCAAGTTGCCCAGGCTGGTCTCCAGTCCCTGGGATCAGGCAATCTTCTTGCCTCCACCTCCCAAAGTCCTGGGA